GCGGGAATAAATGGCGTATGAACCAATCGTTGGTCACCGGCTACCATGAGACTGCATCTCCTTACGATGCTCCACTGCCTTGTGGATCAGATCTTCAGGTCGAAGGCTCGGGGTGTAGCCCCCTAAGGAAACCACCTGCTTCGGTTTGGGCACCCGGGCAGTATCACAGCCCACGCACTAAAACCATGATGAACTATTTGCTTATGGAAAATATTCCTTTCTATCTGATTAACATTGAAATAACTCGTACTATTATTATTATTATTATTATTATTATTATTATTATTATTATTATTATTATTATTATTACTCTACCACGTCATTTATTCACCCTCTCTTATTCCTACTTTATGTACCCGTTTCGACCTAGACAGCAGCTCACCTATGGTGAAAATTCAGCTTTATCTAAACGTTCTCGAGTCACTGCCTGGTTGAAAATTTTATGTTACCACCGAATATGAGTACTGAAGCAGTTTTTCTGAAACCACGTACACCATTCAAACTGGCTGCCTTCAACGTTCGCACACTTATGCAGGTCGGACAACAGATAGGGATGGCTATGTCTTTGGAAAGTCTTAATATTGACGTGTGTTGTCTATCCGAGACCCGTATTCAAGACTCTGGTGAAGTACTACAAGTTCGCTCTCCATCTGTCGCTTCAAAAAGCTTGTTTTATGTGCGTTTATCCGGGGACCCTGTGGCATCTTCGTCTGGTCTTGCTGGCGTTGGCGTCGCACTAAGCGCTAGAGCTGAGGCAGCATTAGTCGACTGGATCCCCATTAACAGTCGGTTATGTGCTGTTAGATTAGAAAGTTCGATCAAAGTGAGAAGAAATCGGCGTGAGAAACGATGTCTTTTCGTCATCTCCGCCTATGCCCCGACAGATTGCAGCCCGGATGCAATCAAGGACGAGTTCTACTATCAGCTAACTGTTCTTCTCCAGAAAGTGTGTTCGACAGATATTGTAGTACTAGCTGGAGACTTGAATGCTCAGGTCGGGCGTCTAGGCACAGAAGAGAGTCATTTAGGTGGCCGATGGGGACTTGTTGGTCGCAGGACAGATAACGGAGAACGTCTACTGCAACTATGCACAGACCACAACCTGTTTCTGGCTAGCACTAACTTTCGGCACAGTCATCGCCGATGTGCCACCTGGCGTCCCCCTTCTGCATCTCAAGCCTGGACTCAGATTGATCACATCGCGATCAGCTACCGCTGGCGTGGTTGTGTACAAGACTGCCGCTCCTTTTGGAGTACCTATCTGGAATCTGACCATGCTCTGGTCTGCGCCAATCTTACCTTACTTTTCAGTGGCCAACGAAGTGACCGCCACCAAAGGATTGATGTTAGAAAGCTGGCTGCAACTTCTGTTGCTAGTAAGTACCGAACCGAGCTAGCTTCTAGGCTAGCTACCATTCCACCGAAAAGTATAGATGAGCATTGGTTGCAGTTGCATGACGCCATGAAAATGGCGGGTACAGTCTGTTGTGGGTTCGCGAAACGTCCCGCTTATAAGCACTGGGTTTCTTCTGGTTCCCTACAACTGATTGGAGCCCGTCGGTCTACTCCGGGTGACCGTGAGTTTGACCACAGGCGAAGGATGTTACGTAATGAAATCGGGCAAAGCTTGCGTAAGGACCGAGAAGCCTGATGGTCGGAACGTGCTAATGAGCTGGAAGCAGCAGCTGCATCTGGTAATTACCGGAAGCTCTTCCAACTCATCCGAGCCACTGGCAGCAAGAAGTCTGGTGTGAGCGAAACAATCTGCGAGGATGACGGAACGCCAATAACCAACATCCATCAACGTTTTGGACGATGGGCGGAATTTTTCAAAAGGCAGTTCAACTGGCCTGCTGCTTCGGCAACGTCGGTCAGACTGTCCTTCCCTCCATGGCCGGTGACGACTGATCCACGAAATGAGGCGGAAGTCCACAAGGAACTCCAACTCTTGAAACGTTACAAATCACCAGGCTCAGATGACTTACCTCCGGCTCTTTTTAAAGATGGTGGTGACTTTCTGACTAAGGGACTGAGGACGTTGTTTGGGAACTAGAGAGTGTACCAACGTCATGGAATGAGTCGATAGTTGTCCCTATGTTTAAAAAGGGTTCACGACGTTCCTGTAACAATTATCGGGGGATAAGTCTACTTCCGATTGCGTCCAAGCTATTGGCTTCCGTCATACTTCGTAGGTTGTTCAAAACCCGAGAAAGATTGACTCGCGCGGAGCAGGCTGGGTTTCGTTCTGGTCGAGGATGTATTGATCATATCTTCACCTCGCGCCAAATGTTAGAACACCTCCATACTTATCAAAGGCCAACAATCGTAGTGTTTCTTGACATCAGGGCTGCCTTCGATTCGTTGGACAGAACTGTTCTCTGGGATTGTCTATTGAAGAAGGGTGTGCCTGAGAAGTTTATTAACATCCTAAAAGCCCTATACGCAAACACCTCAGGCATAGTGAGGGCATACAACCACCTTTCTCCATTATTCCATTCAAGTAGTGGGGTTGGACAGGGTTGCCCAATCTCACCATTCCTCTTCAACTTTGCCATCGATGACATTCTGGAAACAGCTCTGGCGGATGTAAGTAATGGTGGTGTGGATCTGTTGCCTGGAGAAAGACTTCTCGACCTTGAGTATGCGGATGATATTGTCTTACTGTGCGAGAATGTTCAAGCCATGCAATCCGCACTTAATCAGTTGGCAATCAGTGTCCGTAGGTATGGTATGTACTTTGCACCTTCGAAGTGCAAAGTTATTCTACAAGACTGGCAGGATTCTAATCCTGTACTCACTCTGGATGGTGAGCAGATAGAAGTAGTCGAGAAGTTCGTGTATCTAGGTAGCTGCATAAGTGCTGGTGGTGGTGTGAGTGATGAGATCAATGCACGCATAGTGAAAGCCAGAGCGGCTTATGCCAATCTGTGCCATCTTTGGCGCCTTCGTGATGTTAGTCTGGCTGTAAAAGGTCGGATCTACAACGCGACGGTGAGAGCAGTTTTGCTCTATGCTTGTGAAACCTGGCCTCTCCGAGTTGAGGATGTTAGACGACTCTCTGTGTTTGATCATCGTTGTCTCCGAAGGATTGCTGGCATCCAGTGGCAACACTATGTCAGTAATGCAGAGGTCCGGCATCGTGTGTTCGGTTACAGAGACGATAATGAAACTGGTGTCACCATCTTGAAACACCGACTTCGGTGGCTTGGACATGTTCTACGAATGTCGTCCCAGAGAATTCCTCGTCGTGCATTATTTGCCAACTCTGGGACTGGTTGGAAAAAGCGGAGAGGTGGTCAGTATATGACGTGGTGTCGTGGTATGAAAGAAAACTGCAAAGGGCTAGCTTCTGTTGGTCCTTCACGACTCCCTGGCTGGGGTCCGAGAGGCGGTGTAACGCAGTGGCTAGAGACGTTATCAGATATGGCTCAGAATAGAAGCCAATGGCGATCCTGCTGTAACCTTCTTTTACTTTCTTCATAAAAAGTGGTTGTATCTTCCTTAACTGAAAGATTTCTTCTGATTGTACCTTTCCGTTTTCCCCATCATTGTTTTCTCTCTTTTTTTTATAATTCCCCACGTCCATCACTTTTTTTTCTCCTCTTCAAATTATCATTGTTTTGTGTGGCGCATATATATTTGTTGCCCTCCTGTACCAATATTTATGTGTTCAAATAAATAAATAAATAAAATAATGCTGACATATGACTTCATTGACCAAGTGTCTTATAATTTCCTATAGTTTTAGTGTTTATCATATTTTTGGATACTGACTGGCAGTGGAATCCAGGACATCATATTTTAAACCATAGACAATTTCGTGGTATCTTCCTATAAAGTCTATATGCAAATCGAGATTGATCCAATTCAGTCTGGAATAACACTAACCAGAAAATACAAACCTATAGCAAATAGTAATACTACATCTTACACTATTTATGAACACTAGAACTGAATGGTAAAAGCGGAGAGACGATCAGTTTATGACATGTAACTACTATAAACGATGGCTGTATGAGACTATCATTTATTAGCCCATCACGATTATCATTAGCCTTCACATTTAAAATGTGAATCATTCCCAAGTACCTGACGGATCAGTTATATGAATTCTAAATACTGTTAATGATAGTACATGATACTACATAAAAATATGTTTCAATCAAAGTTAACTCATTTACATTATGATTACTAGTATTTCTGAATACTGAATTGTGCTTGTTCAGAGTGTTCTTAAGATTCTTTAATTTTTCTCTTTCCAACTGTTAGTTGACTATTTCACTTTAAAATTTTATAACTATGTTAAACTAACATTCATTCAAGTTTTACAGTTTGATAGTAAACTCCGAAATTTTCGTTAATATGTTAATTTCACGCTTGTTTTCTGTTACGCTGTATGAGTGTAACCTTTCTTTCTCAACTTGAGTATTTTATTCGTCAATATTTAATTTGGCAATAATAATACTAATAGTTCATTTTGTAACGGTTTTCATTGTCCTGTTAATATTTTATTAAAACCATGAACCGATCATTGTTAGACCACAATTGAAAACCTAGGAGCATTAGACGGCCTTTTTCTCCTAGTGTGGGAGTCAGAAGTGCACATCGATGATCTCACATGCGGAGATCGGACCCAGGACCTTAACCTGTGGACTACTGACCCAGGATTCAACGGTACACGTGCATCCTAGAAAAATCACCTTAATATGTCGAAAATGAGATGACCCAAACCACCACAAATCAGATTAAATTCTATACCCGTTGCACGAGTGGCTATTTGGTCCCAGCAGCTAAATGATAGCTCTTTGGGCGTTTGAAGCGAAAGTCCAGAGTTAACATCAACTCTGGAACACAGGTACATCCGTCTGACAGGTAGCAAATAAGATGAAACGCGCGTCCCTGCTTCCATTGCTAGCCAGAACTCATCTCTTCGATAATAATAATAATAATGCTGATTTTTTAAAAAGCTTTTTAATACTCCATTTATCTAATTATTTAAGATCCGTCCAAACGAATTCACTTTATCTGGTAGTTTTGGCTACGTCCTATCAAGAACTGCTCTCGAATTAATTGTTATGAAAGGTTTAGACAAATTGGCTGACTGTGGACCAATTCAGCATGTTCGTGAAGATATTCAAATATGTAAGTAGGTTTTTTTAGTTATTTAGTTGAAATTAAATGCAATCCACCGGACTGTCTAAGCTGGAAGCAATAGAAAACTCATACTCTCCAGTTACATGTAATCTAACTAACTAGATGCTGGAAAGTATAGGTAACTACTGAGCTCTAGCATAATGCTAATCATAAAATTTGTACATTTTGATTTATGTCTTTGATTTAAAGATACTAAGTGGATTCATGCAAAAGAAGCAAACATCATGAATTAAATAACCACCAATAGGCAAAAAAATTCTTTCTGTAACATTGAACCTCAGGAATATCGCAGTGACAACTCCTTACATGTAATCGTAAAGAATCATAATTTAACAAAAATATAACACTATATACGTTAGATTAAAATGGATTAGCGGTTTCCTCTGATCGCCCCTGTAACAGAATAAACCCAGCAGTAAGATTTTTCACTCAGATTGCCGGCGTGTACAATGGTGCTGCCTCCTCACAACATAAGGGGAGGGGTTAAGAAGTGTCGACCTTGAAAATGCTTCGCCTCATCACATCCTACGGAATCCCATCTCCAGAGGTGAGACCTTTGAAGTACTGAGCTAACAAATCGAAATCTGTCGCAATAATGCCACGTTTAGTCGGTCTCAAGCACTTGTCTCTTGGGATGTTTACTCACACTCCCAAGTAGTTAAGACTCCACTTCTAGTCCAATTTTCTTACCTTACTTACGCCTGTTACTCCTAGCGAAGGAGCATAGGCCGCTCACCAGCATTCTCCATCCAACCCTGTCCTGGGCAATCCTTTCCAGTTCTTATTCATCCTTTTCATATCTGCTTCTATTTCCCGACGTAATGTGTTCTTTGGCCTTCCTCTTTTCCGCTTCCCTTCAGGATTCCAAGTTAGCACTTGTCTCGTGATGCAATTTGATGATTTCTTCAATATATATCCTATCCATTTCCATCGTCTTTTCCTAATTTCCTCTTCCGCTGGAAGCTGGTTGGTTCTCTCCTACAAAAGGCTGTTGCTGATGGTATCCGGCCAATGGATGTTGAGTATCTTACGTAGACAGCTATTGATAAATACTTGTACCTTCTTGATGGTGGTTGTTGTAGTTCTCCACGTTTCAGCTCCGTACATCAGAACTGCCTTGACGTTCGTATTGAAGATTTTGACTTTGACATTGGTTGAATGTTGTTTTGAGTTCCATGTGTTCTTTAATTGAAGGAATGCTTTCCTTGCTTTGCCGATCCTCGCATTTACGTCTGCATCTGAACCTCATTGTCCATCGATGATGCTTCCCAGGTACGTGAAGGATTCCACACATTCTAGAGTTTCGCCATCAAGAGTGATTGGACTGCTGTTCTCCGTGTTGTATTTGAGGACCTTAGTTTTCCCCTTGTGTATGTTGAGGCCTACTGATGCAGAGACTGCTGCTACGCTGGTTGTCTTTATCTGCATTTGTTCGTGTGTATGCGATATGAGGGGTAGGTCATCGGCGAAGTTCAAATCGTCTAATTGGTTCTGAGCTGTCTATTGTATTCCGTGTTTTCCCTCAGATGTCGAGGTCTTCATAATCCAGTCGACCACCAGAAGAAAGAGGAAGGGAGAGAGTAGACAGCCTTGCCTTACTCCGGTCCTTACTTGGAATGCATCTGTCAGCTGTCCTCCATGCACTACTTTGCACTGTAGTCCGTCGAATGAGTTCCGGATAATATTGACAATCTTCTCAGGAACTCCATAGTGTCGAAGAATTTTCCATAACGTTTTCCTATCTACACTGTCAAATGCCTTCTCATAATCAATGAAGTTGATGTACAATGACGAGTTCCATTCGATTGATTGTTCCACGATGATCCGTAGTGTCGCAATTCGGTCTGTGCACGACCGGTCCTTACGGAATCCAGCTTGTTGATCTCGAAGTTGAACGTGTACTGCTTCTTGACTCGGTTCAGCAACACTCTGTTAATGACTTTCCCTGGTACTGACAGTAGTGTAAGGCCTCTGTAGCTTTCACACTTGCTCAGATCTCCTTTCTTTGGAATCTTGATGAGGTGTCCTTCTTTCCAGTCCATCGGCACTTTTTCCTCCTTCCAAATCTTCTTGAATAGAAGATGTGACATGTTTGTAGTTACTTCGATGTCTGACTTCAATGCTTCAGCTGGTATATTGTCAGGTCCTGCTGCTTTCCCGCTATTGATTTGTCTGATGGGCATTCTGATTTCTTCCGTCGATGGTGGATGGACATCTATAGGAAGATCTGTGTGTGCTGCTTCGATGTCCGGTGGATTCATCGGAGCCGGCCTATTCAGGAGTTCCTCGAAGTACTGTGCCCATCTGTTCCTCTGTTGTTGAATTTCAGTGATTGGCCTGCCTTCTTTGTCTTTGACCGGTCTCTCTAGTTTACCATACTTCCCTGCTAGTTTCTTCGTTGTATCATAAAACTGTTTCATATTTCCTTCTCTTGCAGCTGTTTTCGCTGTCGTTGCTAGTTCCACATATTTCTGCTTGTCGGCTCTAATTCTCTTCTTCAGTTGCTTGTTTGCTTCTATGTACTCAGCTTGTGCTTGGACTTTCTCTTCTCGTGTTCGGCTGTTGTTAATTGCTGTCTTCTTGTTCTTCCTTTCTTTGATCCTGTCCAGTGTTTCTATAGAGATCCATTCCTTGTGATGATGCTTCTTGGGGCCCAGAACCTCTTGACACGTTGAGGTTAATGCTTCTTCGATACCTTTCCAGTTGTTCTCTATAGTAGCTTGTTCTTCCTTCAGTAGATCCTGTAGGGCTTGGAACCTGTTGTTGAGAGCTATCTTGAATTCATTGAGTTTGTCAGTATCTCGAAGGAAGGCTGTATTGAACCTTTGTAGTGCTGTTTGTCCAGTTGTCCAGTTCTTCTTTAGCTTCAGTTTTAAATTGGCCACAACCAGGTGGTGATCTGAAGATATGTCTGCTCCTCTCGTAGTTCTCACATCTTCCATTGTCCTTCGGAACTTCTTATTGACGCAAATATGATCTATCTGGTTCTCTGTGGTGTGGTCCGGTGAGATCCATGTAGTTTTGTGTATACGTTTGTATGGAAATATTGTGCCGCCTATGACCAATTTGTTGAACGCACACAGATTTGCAAATCTTTCCCCGTTTTCGTTTCTCTCTCCCAGTCCATGTAGTCCCATGATATCTTCACATCCGGTGTTGTCTGTTTCGACGTTGGCGTTTAGATCACCCATCAGAATGGTGAGGTCCTTTCTTGGGCACTTCTCTATGATTGATTGCAGCCTCTCATAGAATCGATCTTTAATGTCGTCGTTGCTATCATTGGTGGGTGCATAACATTAGATAATATTCATTGTGATGCCTTCTTTCTTTGTTTTGAATGATGCTTTGATGATTCTGGATCCGTGAGATTCCCATCCTACAAGTGCATTTCGTGCTACTTTGGACAGCATTAGAGCAACTCCCTGAGTGTGTGGAGCATTTTCCTCTTCGTGACCGGAGTATAGCAGCATCTCTCCCGTATTTAGCCTTTGTTGTCCAGCTTGGGCCCAATGGATTTCGCTGATTCCTAGTACTGCTAAGTTGTATCTCATTTCCGTTGCTATTTGACTGGTCTTCCCAGTCTCCCACATTGTCCGGACGTTCCATGTACCTATAAAAATTGTTGCTCTGGTTGTTAGAAGGGGCATCAGCCTCGTGTCTTCTGAAGGAGCTCGGCTTTCACCCTGAGGCGTCATATTTCTTCTAAATGAAGACCTTCTAACTCCCAGGGCAGAGTTTAAATGGTTTGAGTTATTTTTTCTGATTAGCGTTTTTTTAGCGAGTTAGTTTTTTACGGGATGGGGACGCTAAACCGATGCCCAACCCTCCTTCTTTACCCGGGTTTGGGACCGGCAGTAACTCGAAAAGAGATACAGGCGGCGTTCAATTTTTTTACCAGGTCCCTCAAAAACAAAGATTCTTTCACAGCGTGCTCAACTGGGAATCGACAGTCGCCCCCATATATCTAACATCACTCGAGATCACCTTGTTCACGATAGCTGCTCTCCAACACAAGTCGCTCAAACCTAAATGCTTGATGCTAGTCAGAGCTTTAAAGATGACAAATCTCACGAATATCCCTTATAACTATCAGAAGACTTAAGTATTAAACAAGCTTTCTGACCTAAGTCTCTGCTTTGAGTAATTTTATCCAATCTGAGTAATGAAACAAAAGGTGAGAAATGCGTTGGTTCTAGTAAATAACTGCTTGAATTCAATATGTTCGGCCATATCTCCCAAATACTCTGCAGAAATAATCGAGTTCCAGTCTCTTAAGAAGACGGAACCATCGAACCAATCTTCGAGATTAATATACCTCCGTGCGCCTCGTCAAACTTAATCTGCTGAATTTGTTCGAGCTTTATTTAATATTCATGAGTACTGATACATCACAGCTACTTGATTTACTAAAAAATTACTATGCTTGCATACTGTGATTTCACCTAGCCAACGTATAAATCCAACTCACTCTTGGCATATAGAGGTGCCTAAAGTGCTAAGCGGTTGATCGCGACTGGGCTTTCCAAAGGCTATTTTGCTAGAATGAATATATATATAGTCCTCATTTTATCTGTTTTTTTTTATTTTAAAACAAAATTTTAGCTAAATGTGCAAAAGCATTGGGCATAGAATTCAAAGATAGTATTGATATGTTTGGAATGTCACGATTCAGTAATGTTACCATAAACAATCTCTTTGGAACATTCAATAACAGTAATAATAATAGCGGAACAATTCAGTGGGATCCAATAAAAACAGATTATACACAAGCTGTGTATGACTTAAAGAAAGTAAGCGTTAAGAAATTTGCATAAAATAGCCTCCTTTCTTTATCTATGTATCTACCCTTAAATCAAATATCGGTGTGGGGGTCATAAGATTGTTGAATTTTATTGATTTAAGTTAGACAACCAACCGTGTCGAGTGGGAAGAAGGTACTCACCGAAAACAATGAAAGATGGTCGCGTAATATCCTGGATTGGTTAAAATTAGACATATACACCATTAAGTCCCGTCTCAATGGTCTAGAAGTTAAGCGTTCACGCGTGAGATAAATAAATGTCCTGGGTTCTATCACGAGTGGTGGGGTCATGGATGTACCCTTTTGAAGAGTTTCATACTGGGACCAAACGGCCGTCCCGGTGCTTCTAGGTTTTCAATGGTTGTCTAGCTAAGATTGGTTAATAATTTCTACTGTGATTGCAGCTTATTTATGAAGAAAAAGTATATCACCTTAATTCTAAGTCACTCGGTTATTAAAATTGAGAAACTCCATCCGTTATGTTTCATTTAAGACTGATTTTCTCTGGTTGCTGCAGAATACACTTCTTATTTCAAGCTTGGACTTCTCCCTCTTGATAGCGGGGCTGGGGCGCAGCAATAGTTAGCTTACTGGACCTTGGTCACCGAATCCTCGATCTCGTTCTCAAACTACGTGAACCCGTGATAGCTCTCTCTTTTCAAACCCTAACAAAGACAATAATCACGAGTTGCCATACAGTTGATAATATTCATTAGAATCGAAGTATAATAACTTTTTCTTGTAAAGGTACTCAGTGAATTTCTGAGTCCTACTGTCCTCTCTATCTATTAAAATTAAAATACCTGGTGATGATATCACCAGTACTCAAACCCGTATATATTATTCAAAGTAGGTCTTTATGTGTCAATGATAATTGGTTTATTCAGTAGTGAAACATGTTTTTCATTATATATATATATATATATATATATATATATATATATATATATATATATATATATATATATATATATATATATATATATATATAAACATTTCTATGCCGGTTTATCTTCATTTTAACAGAATCTCTATTTTTTAATACTCACTTGTGTGCTGTCAAAACCTTAACTTCATCTACGTTTGAGTAAATACATTATTTTATCATATCTCCATTCATTGATTCTCTATTTAAAAGATATAATCTACTTTTTTTTATTTCTCTCCCACTCACCATTACCATCCATTTAACTGAATTCAAGTTACCTGCAAGTCCACTGCTGATCAGTTTCGGTGGTTTAATGCCAGTAAAAATGTATATTTTAGAATATTTAATCTATCATCTTCGACCAGTTGGAATAACGCATAGAATTTTACAACATCTACCTTATTCATTATCATCTACAATGAATCGTTATCGTCAACAAGACCATAGTACATACTAATGTATATACTATTGTCTCAGTGATTTTTATTGTTTGCATAATATGTATATGATACTTTCTTATCTAAGTCATTTTAACTAGTTGTTTATTTAATTTTCTTTCTTCTTGTCATTGTGATCAACATATAAACATTTACATATCACAATTTTTTAGTAGATAATTTAAATTCCCTATTTAATTATTTGTATTCTAAATATATATATATATATATATATATATATAAACTTATTTCCGTTCATAAGTTCAATTGCCTTAGATTCTGTTGTATTTTTTATCAATTAAAACATTGATCAAACAAAACAATGTACGATATGTAATGAATGATGCTTAGAATGTCAGTTTAATTAAGCTTTTATAATTTATTATTATTAATAACAACTTTTTCGTAAATCTTATGGTTATTTCACCTTCCTTTTATTCACTTATGCTCATTTAGTTTGTTTTTTATTGATTGTTTATTATTATTTATTTATTAATAATAAAGACGTTTTTACCAACTTCTCGTGTCCATATAACTGTTATGACTGTAGGGTAGAAGGTTGCCAATAAAAAAGACTTTAGAAATTACTCTCTGAAGGTACATTATATACTTTCTGCATTTGTATTTTATTCAACATTTGGTTTGTGATCTTTATGTTGTCAAAATTGTAAACTTCTATCTAACTCGATAATCGTTACAATATATTTTATTGGAATGATGAACCGAGCAATGGTAGATAATCATTAAAAACCACGAAGCACTGAACGGCCGTTTCGTTCTAATATGGGACTCCTCGGCAGTGCTTGAACCACACATTCCCACGTGAGGATTGGCAGGATGGTTGTACAATATCGTGGATTGATTAAAGTTTGACATTAAAATTGTTGGATGCCGATTCAGTGGTCTAGAGGTTAAGCGTTCTCATGCAAGACCGAAGATCCTGGGTTAAATCTTCGCTTCCGAGGTCGTAAACTCGCATTCCTGACGAGTCACATACTAGGAAAAATTGACCGTTAGTCCTTCCGGGTTTTCAATCATGGTTTAACGATAATCGACTCATGATTTCACTAGTTGGACAAGTACAGTAAATTAATCATAAACCTTGATGGAAGCTGTCAGGAAGAAATAAAAATGTAACTAAATTTAGTTATATTATTTAGGTAATGCAGTTTAGTTCACTGATGTTATAAGTTGTACACATTCATTAAATTGTTGATTAGCTTTTGTTAAATGTTTCCCAGTTCGATGTATTCAGATTTCGTCTCGTGTGGCGACCTCCACAGTTGATTCAAGTAGATCATATTGCCATTAGCCATCACTGGAAAAGCTCGTTTGTAGACCTGCTCATTCTGGAGCACATGTTTAGACTTGGATCATGCTCTAGTTCTAGCACGTATTTGTCTGCATTATATTGGATATAATATAGCCACAGTTAGGAAACATTGAGTCCAACTTGATGAAAAAGTCAAGAATATATTTCAGGAATAACTAGACAACAAGTTAGTCAACTGTAAAAGTGATATCTCCCGAAATAGTTTGATATAATATGCAAAAATCTGTGAACTATCCGAGTTCTCAAAATGGTATAAGGACCTAAACAGATATTTGAGCGTCCCTATATTATTCGTAGTTGGCATTAGAGATTTAGAGTAAAAATTATGATTTTAGATTCAGGGATGTGATCTCGAACTAACACCAGCTATAAGACTAAAACCTTCTGTATCAACACAGATGGATGAATTTTTCCACACAATCCAAGAAGCGTATTCAAATTAAATCGTCCAAGAAATTTAGTACTACCAGGGTAAGAATTGTTTCGGAGTTAATGATTCAGGGTTAGGATTTACGGATAATATCGATTTTCCGTATTAAATACTTGACACATTCAATTGTAAAATACCAGTTGGAGCACTGAAGTCAGATATAGAAGTAACTGTAAAGATGCTCTACATACTATTCAGAAGAGTTCGGTAGGAAAAACAGGTACTGATAGATTGGAAAGAAGGATAACCGATCAAGAACCATAGAAAGGAGATCACAGTGTGATAGCTACAGAGGCTCAACGTACACAATGGAAACAGCAGGATCTTCAAACACAGCGCGGAGAACACCAACCCAATCACACATTGTGGAGAAGTTCAGAAAGAGGTGGAAACTTCACGCACCTGCACAGTATCTGACGCATATATGGACTCAGGGATTAGCAAAGCAAGATCAGCATTCCTACAATTAAAGAACATTTGAATCTCAAAACAACTGTCAGCCAACACCCGAGTCTCAATCTCCAATACGAACACCAAGACAACTATCACAAATATGATAAAATAGTACAGATATTTACAAACAATTGTCTACGCAAGATACTCAGAGTCTGTCGGTGGGAAACCATCAGCAACAGCTCACTGTGTATGAGAAAAAACCAGCTTCCATTTTAATAAGAAATTAAGGAAAAGACGTTGGAAGTGGATAGGACATACATTACAGAAATCACGAATGAAGCCCTAACTCGGAATCCTGAGGGTAAAACGAAGAGAAAGGCCAAACAAATTACATCGGGAAATAGAAGCACATATAACAACTGGAAAGGATTACCCAGGACAGGGTTGGATGGAGAGTGCTAGTGGGCGGCCTATGGCTTCTCCATGACGGTAACAAGTGTCTGTGTGTGTTCAATCGTCCGACATAACTATAGGCAAGGATGGATAGTGGCCAGAAGTGGAATCCAGGACACACGTTTCGTCTTATTTGGAACTCGTCAGCTGGATGTATCTGCATCTGAGTTGATGTTCACTCCGTGTCTCGAACCAGTACCGTTATCGAATAATCTAATTGTTTTCAATTTCTAATTACGAATATTGCATTCAAATCGACAAGAAATTTCCTGTATTACAATACAATTATGAAAGACTTCACTATTTTGTTTTGTTTTTCCCTGATAATTTTCAAGACTAGAAATAAAATTTCCTAATTAAATTTGAGCAAATCAACCTTGCTACTTATAAGTAGTTAACTATAATACTAAATATCTTCCGATTATTCACTTAGCTACCGAAATCTTAAAGTATTTGACGTATATATAATCCGGTTGCAACAAATACAATAAAATTATAATAATGTGATGATCATAATAATATTATTAGTGAGAATAACATAAAATGATAATCACAAGGAGATTGTCAAATCTCACTTGTTTTCATCACATTGGAGTCCAACGATGTCGCATGTGAAGTATTTACCTTTCAATGGCACATAAACGTGGTTAGGTATTATCAAAAACTTATCAAAATTAAACCTCTGGTTGCCTACTGATATCTTCTTTTCAAACGTTAAGCTTGTGGGGTTGGACTTCTGAATGATTGCATACTACGATATGACAGATATCTAGTACCCCTTGCTTTTCAGTGATTGTATAACTAAAATCAATTCGTGATGTAAACTATAAGGAATTCTTTATTTTAAGAGATGTATAACTATTCTACAATAAAGAAATACATTTTTTTTAAAATTAATTTTACCTATTATATATCGACATTCAGTATATAAAAATAATTAAAATATATCGACTGAAAAGGCATACGAACTTGAAGACAAAATATTGAAAAAAGGCAAAACAGTATTTCTTGATAAAATTTTTTTCCTGAAGTTACCGACAAAAGTATACTGATCAAAACTCTGAGTCACATATTGTCCAACAGCGTAAATTTTACAACAAATTTGACTGTTTTACTATTGTTTCAACCAGTTAATTATTGGAATAAACTGTATACTATACCGACATGCCTAATAATAAATGAGAGTTATTTACTTCGCAAATCATATATCCTTAACACATATATTAAGATGGAAGCAAAGTGTCAGAACTATTCGAAAACATTAACGGACGAAGATGAATTCTACCTAATTACAGTTCAAAATTTTTTGACGGATATTCTTTAATATTTATAATTTAAACACATCAAGGATATGAATTTTTTGTAGTGTTGTATATTTTGAGCTGAGAACTATGTACTACAGCTACATATATTATACTGAACAAAGTGAATACTATTTCTATTATTCGGTTGTTATGCTGAAAAGAAACTTCTAGCATGGTATATAATTCTCTCATTCAACATTACTTATGTATAGCTCACATAATCAATCATTTCGGTGGATTCTAGTCTCTCAATTGAATTGCTAATCGATTAAAAACAAACCGTAATTTATTATTGACATAGTGATTCTCTGTATGTAAATTTCTCTTCTACCATACTTGCTCATATTTTGTGAGTCCGTTTTATACTACTAACTATAAAGTAGTAGTCTGCGTTGTCTTGATTATTTAATAAAAGTATTCATAGATAATACCCAGGCTTGTTGCTACACTTAAACCCAAAGTTATCTTTTTTACCATCATACTAATCAACCTACCAATGTACTTTTATCCACTCTATTAGTCAGTTTACTTGGTGTAAAAAATTCTCTACATAAAGTGAAGTTATTGTAAATAAAATATTAAAGAAAAGTATTTTATTTACCATACACAGATTAGAGCACTCATTTTTGAGCCACATTTTACATGCGAGTATTTGTGGTGCTACTCGGCTGCAAACATAAGAGATGAAAGCTGTCTCAAAACTGAAATTCGAACTTTTTAACAACTGTCCCACTTCACTTCACTTCACAAAGAGAAAAGTGATGCAATCAATTGAATAATATGCATTGGAAAAACAGTTCAAAAGAAAGGTGTAGGTTAAGCTCACTCAAAAGGTCCATCCCAAGTTCCTTAAAGAATATTATGGGAAACAACAACAAGATTGCAACGAGTTTCTACTTTGGGTCATGTCTGATAGCGTATCGCCTCACTGTAAAATTTTGAGAGACTACTTTTAGACTCGTGAAAAACCAATAGGTACCAATTGAATAAGGTCATCCATCTAAAAAGCTGATCATCTCAGTGACTTCTCATCCAGTCCCAGTTTACAATAAAGATCTATTATCGGTGTCCTAATAAAAACTAGTAGTCTTTGATATCAATTACGGAATATTCTCGCAAGAATTTTGGAAATACCGAAGATTTATTGAGTATCTCCTCTTCAAGTTCATCATAAACTAGTTAAATTAGAATTCCTACACAAATTTCCCATTCATTTTATACATAGTGAAAACAAACAATTAACTAATCATAAAAGAATATATTCATTTACAGAAAATTTCTTGTACATTAAATGATATACCAGTGGAAATTTTAGAAGCAT